TTCCCAGTAGGAATTCTGATACCTGAAAAACCCAAGTCCAATAGGAAAAAAGTTCTGATAAGATCCATTGCTGTGCCTCGGAAACTCATCCCTCTCAACGTCATCCCAGCCAGGGGCACAGGTCAGAAGGTCTTCCACTTCAGAACTAAAGACAGGAGAATGTGACACTTGCCTGGCCTCGTATCCAGACTTGTGGGCTCCCAGAATCGAATGTCAAGAAGCAGGCCACATGGGACCAGCAGTTAGCGTAATGGCTACGTCGCTGGACTCCCATGTAGTCGACCGTGGTTCGAGTCCCAGACCTGGTGGCTTAAACTCATGCCAGGGTGCATGTGTGCCCAAGATCCCGAGAGGAGAATGGAGGAGTAGGGATTGCAGTGTGGCCTTTCCCCCTGGGGGGTGATTTCTCCAACAGCTAATAATGCATTTTCAGTCCAGCCCTGGGGTTCTGTTTCTGAAAAACAGACCTAGGCAGTCTAATCTGGACTCAGTCACTATGATAACAAAAATTAAGTCACTTTCAGGACCGCCCCAGGGTGGATCAGGATCAAACCAGACTCTCCAACTGGCACTAATCTGCACTTCTAGGCCTAGATGCAAACCTCCTCATTGTGTTTCAATGGTCTGCATTCAGGTTCACGTGAAACTACCACGCAGACTGACTAGTTAATGGTGCTCAGACAGTAACGACAGCTGGCCGCGCTTCCCCACGTGATCTCAAGCGCAGACTGTGTCCCAGTCGCCTCATCTGAATCATCTTCCCCCTTCAAGTAGACAAGGGCCCAGTGGCCACTGCTACTATCTCTGCCCTTGGTGCTGAATCAAAGTCTCTCTCCAGTTTTAGGATTAGAATCAGTCATTTAAGGGAACCGGCAGGTGGCGTTGTGGTTAAGGTGCTGGATTTCCACATGGCTGGCCACAATTCGAGTCCCGGAGCTGGCAACTTGCTTCCTCACTTTCTCTCTCTGTTTCTCTCTAGTGAGTGCATGTGCCCTTCAACAAATTAAAAATAATAACGATAATAGATAAAACTTTTTAAAAAAGGATCAGTAATTTAATATATATATGTGAGGTCTTACCCTACTATGTTATAGACATTATGAATTTTCCACAGAAATACTAGCATTTCTTGCAAAAAAAAAGGGGGGGGGGAAATGCTCCGAGGAATTTCTAAACTATAGTCCTGAAATTAGGAAAAGCTTACATGGTCTTGACATACTTTATTTCCTGTTGGATCTCCCTACACTTCTCTAGATAAACTTTTTCACTGCACTACAGAGCTATTCCCAGTGTATCGGGATTCTACCTTTGGATTCTGCACATGGCCACACCATGACTGTTCACTGCACAGA